CCTACAGCTGGTTTATATCTAACACTAACCTTACCTACAGCTGGTTTATATCTAACACTAACCTTAACTAGAGCTGGTTTATATCTAACACTAACCTTAACTAGAGCTGGTTTATATCTAACACTAACCTTACCTACAGCTGGTTTATATCTAACCCTAACCTTAACTAGAGCTGGTTTATATCTAACACTAACCTTAACTACAGCTTGTTTATATCTAACACTAACCTTAACTAGAGCTGGTTTATATCTAACTTTAACCTTAACTAGAGCTGGTTTATATCTAACCCTAACCTTAACTAGAGCTGATCAGAAACAAGGTTTAGCCTCATTGTTTCCATGACGACTGCTGGTCCTGACAAGTGAGTACATTCTCCAGCCCCTCACCCGACTTATCACAGCTAAACGCCCGACCCAGACCTACATTTAACCTTAACCCAGATTTAAATTTAACCTTAACCCAGATTTAAATTTAACCTCAACCCAGATTTACATTCAACCCTAATTGTCAAAGCTCGTCTTAATTAACCCTCAAATTGTGCTTTGATAAAAACGTCGTCACACCACATGGTCTATACTGAAAATGGTTCCTCACGAGGACCTAAATCCACACACACACACACACACACACCGATACACGTTGGCGCGCGCGCGCACACGCAGGTATCCGGTTCGTGCCTTTGATTCACCGAAGTCTTTTCATCTCCAGGTGATTATTTCAATAAAACTTTATTGGAAACGTCACGGGCAGAAAATGGTCGAGGTCAGGACGCGGCGGCGCGCTCAGGCGGCCGCGCATGCGTAATGTGGGCGCGCAGCGACACGGCAGCAGCAGCAGCAGCAGCGGGGGCGCGTCCACGAGGCTCGGAGGAGGGAGGGTGTGCTGGCTTGTGTCATGCGGGCAGTCCGGAGGAGCGGCAGACGCTCGGTGCTTCAGCTCCATCATGGCTCTCAACATCCCCGGGGTGACCGTGATGATGTTCTTCTACCTGCTGGTGCTCGGCATCGGCATCTGGGCCTCCGTCAAGTCCAAGCGCGAGGCCAAGAAGCTCCGGGGCGATAAGACGGAGATGGCGCTGCTGGGCAACCGGGGCATCAACCTGGTGGTCGGCATCTTCACCATGACAGGCGAGTCACCCTCCACCGTACCGATGATATCATCCGTACGTCACCTTCATTAATAACGCTGTCATTAGCGACAGGACCACGCGCGTTATTACAGCTTATAACCTACATCTGTTCGGATTATGTAATATATATATATATATATTCATATTTATATATAGACATCTTTTAATTCAGACTGAGTGTGATGGAGGACGACACGAGGTCTTGGAACAGGAAGTCATCTTTTACAACACCAGGAACCTCATGTGGGTTATAAATCTGCTGACAGTGTTAAATTCATGAAGCCACAGATGCGCTGATAAAGAGTCAGGTCACGTGATGGATCAACGTTCAAACTAAATCCTCATTTTATTTTTGTATTGAAGTTGCAGAGGAGGCCGGTTTGTGTTCTCAGGTTGCAGGTGCAGCTGCAGCAGCTTTCCTGCCACTATATCCTCGGTGTGCGTGTGTGTGTGCGTGTGTGTGTGTGTGTGTGCGTGTGTGTCTCATATACAGCTACGTGGGTTGGAGGAGGTTTCATTGTGGGCACATCAGAGGCGGTGTACAGTCCCTCCATGGGTCTGATCTGGGCCGTGATGCCAGTGGCAGCGACCTTGTGCTTCATCATCGGTGAGGCTTCATTTTAAAGGTCTGATACTTCAGTGGTTTTATATTTCTCACATGGAGCCGATGCACTGGAGTGAATGTGAATAACCACACTAGTGGCCCCAGGAGGCTGTAAAGCTCATTACACTGGAGGGGCATAAATCAGAAACCCATCCTGCCAGTCCTATTGGGCCATACTGACAATAAAAACCAATATTAGGTAAAGAGTTTGATGTATTCTGGGAGAGAAGTCATGATGTTTCTGTATAATAAAGTCGTTTAACAAGAACGAGGTCGTAAAGTCAATTTAATGATAATAAATACATAAATTCATTGTTAGGACAACAAGGTCATAAAGGAACAAGTAATAATGTCTCCAGAATAAAGTCATAATATAAAGTGAATACATTTAACCAGATTTTAAACATCGTGAAACATTAATCAGATTCCATCAGTCACTGAGTTTACGTCCATTTGTTTGTTGGTTCTTTTGTCATCTCATCAAACTTCTTTCAAGAAAGAAACATTTATTTGATCTCCGTCTTTAACATTGTGAGATTGAGAGGTTTACTTTTATATTTTTGCTAATTTCTCAGAGAATGTTTCATGAATCTTGATGAATATCAGACATATTTATAGGACAGATATTTATGAGTGTGTGTAATGTGGTGCAGCTTCATTGAATTTAATGGACTTCTGTGTATTTGTGGAATCTACTGAATGATATTCTACTTAAATCAACCTCGTATCCTGTTGTTAGTGTTTATCGTCTGTGCCGAGGCCGTCTGACCACAGCTCAGACTCAGCGGTTCAGGATCTGCACTGTCAGACTCGACTGGACTCTGAAGTGTGAAGGAACATGTGAATTACCACAGTGTTATTTCACACGTGGTTGAGCCTGTGACGCCCGTCGCAGGAATTCTTTAGATTAGGATGTTTAATTATGAGTTGAGATAATGTGGCGAGAACGCCTTAACATCACCTGAGGGAGGTTCACCTCAGGAAGCTATCTGGGCTTTTAGGTTTGAAAACACTGAAGACACATTGATATTATTGACATTATATACTGGTCTCTTATAAAGTCACAACTGGAGCAGCTTCAAACATTTACTGTCCATCTGCAGCAATAACACACCTCAGTAGAACGCATACCTCAGCCAATCAAACTGCTACACACAGATGTCAGTCCTCTACAGATTTAAAACTTGGATCCACACAAAACGAGTTCCTTCCTGATCCATAAAATATCAGTCAGTCAAGTTTAATGTTATTCTGTCCTGTAGTTTAAAATAATCTTAATAAACCAACAAACGGGCCGACGGGCGTGAAAACATGGTTGAGATAAAAATGTTTCACCAGAGTGGTTCTCTCTCCTGAAGAACAGTACGACTCATGCACTGTTGAGTGAGACGAACAATTGATAAGAGACGCCCAAATAATACACAGACCACTTTGACTGGAGCCACTCCAATGGTCAACAGTGAGTAAAGCAAGTTACACATTAAAAACACACACACACACATTAAAAACACACACACACACACTAAAAACACACACACACACACATTAAAAACACACACACCTCAATCAAAATGCACCAAACCACACACACACACAAATCAGTCCTCTCAACATGTCTGATTCTTTTCAGCCGGATCTGTGAAGTAACAGTGTTTAAAATCTGTTCAATAGTTTTTTGGAATCTTTCTTAAAACACAAACCCACCGGGGTGAAAACATAACCTCCTTGGTAGATTCACCGCCACCTGTGGATTTGACCCCTGAATGGGAGAGCGGACTCCACGTGCACCGGTCGCCTGCCGTCAGAATTTATAGTCATGACAGGATGATATGAATTCCAGAAATGATTTTAATTGGACGGAGGATGAGTTAATGTCCCTGACTGCAGGATGAGTCATGGAACAGATGAAACAGGCAGAGAAAAGACAGACATTTAAGATTTAAAGTAAATGGACGTTGTGTCATTACAAGAGAAAAGAAGCTTTCACGCAGAGACACAGGACTCGTTTCATCGTGTTAATCACATGTGTTAATCACAAACCCACAGAGTTTGAGTCATTAGTTTCACAAGTTCTCTCTGAGGAAGTGCACATGTGGAAGTTTGAATTGGACGACTATAAGTAAACATGATGATTCTTTTAACTGAAAAACTGGAGCCACTATTAATCATGTCTTTAAGTTCCCACATCCTCTTCTGGTTTCCTCAAGTGGAAAAAGACAAAGCATTGTTTTAAAGATTAAAATGAGAAAACATTATTTTATCTCCTGAACATCACAAAACAGACACAACAGGATGGTAACGGGATCTCATGCTTGTGAATATAAAGACACTGAGGTTTCATGTGTGTCTTTTGATGAACGGAAACACAACAGGTTGCACAACTTCCCTGAATGGTGAGATTAGCCGGAGAAAAAAGAACAACATTCCTGATTCATGTGGAAGTCACATGAGGAGAGAAAGATTTGTCATTAAACCCTTAAACACTGATAAACACTGAGGAGTGAGGTTCAATGTTTGTACTGATTATAGATTCATAACTTGAATCTGTAAATCAACGTTATGCAACGTTTTCCCCTTAAAGCTTCAGTAAAATGAGTTTGACGGTTGAGTCATTGTGAATATGGAGAATGTTTCTTCTTTCATTCCGTCTTCACCCTGAACCAATGTTCTTTGGTGAGTGGGTTCGAACTGACTGAAGCAGATCGTCCGAGTCCGAGTCGTTCACGACAACAGGAACATGTGGGGGACATTCAGGGGAGGGGTGGAGCCTGTAGAGCAGCAGGAGGCGGGACATGATGTTTAAACTCTGCTGTGTAAAGATCAGTGTTGATGTTTACAGCTCGTCCACGCCGGCGTCGGCCCTCATCACCGAAACATCTGGAATCTCTTTGTCTTCTAAAATGTTCGGAGACACTGACTCGGACATTAGTTCTCACGTACAGAACCTCCAGAACATTTCAGGGAAACAGGTCTGAGAACAGTTTCAGAGTCAGTTGGAGTGAAGCTGAACTGTAAATCAGTTCAAAACACTGAGAACAATCCGAGGAGTAGCAGAGGATCGTGGGTAATATCCAGGTGTTTCTCAGTAATTCATGAAGTCATGAAGCCCAACAGAAGTAATCTCCAAGTCTAGGCTGCAGGGGGCGCTGTTGCTCAGTTACAGTGGCACAGTGTTGCTTTAAGGGGAAATATCAGAAATCAAACTAATGAATATGTTTAATGAATTAAAAGTTTTCTCCTCTGAAGCACACATCGTCCTAAATCCTTCTGTTTCCCTCTCATCACTGAGGTGGTCTGTTCTTTGCCGAGCCGATGAGAAACAACAAATATGTGACCATGATGGATCCCTTCCAGATCAAATATGGAAAAGTGCCGACGGCCGCTCTGTCGCTGGCCTCGCTCATATCGGAGATCATGTGGGTGACAGGAACCCTCATAGGATTAGGTAAGAATGTTTCTATATGCAAACCCCCTCCGTGTGAGCGTGTGTGAGTGTGTGATATATTTGATTCCAGAGTGTGGACTGTGGCGGTGGAGCAGCTGACGATCGCAGCTCGAGTGAAACACAAGCCTTTGTTTTGTAACTGTACAGTCGGTCTGAAGTGACCCTGTCACAGCAGCGTGTAATCAATCTGAAACAGTGGCAGCATGAGGTGCTAAATAAACACGATGCACTGTAACGATCCACCGCTGCGGTTCTGTGGTCTGCAACAAAACAAATCAAACGGCTTTTAGCCATGATGCTGCCCCCTGCTGGAAACAAAGATGTACGAGATAAGACCGACTGCAGCCATTTTTTAAATTGTTCCCCTGATTTTAATTGACCAGTCTCTAGTTCATCCTGTTGTACAGAAGTTAAGCTGAAATCTCTCGGACACAAACGCTGCCATCTTGTGCAGCAGTGATCACTTTGTCCCGCCCATACATGCGCTCACCCATCAGTCAGTCTCAGCTGTCAATCATGAGGTCTCAATCAATCATCTTTAAAGTTTATAAATAACGTTTATTTAAAGTCCAAAGCGAACTGTGAAGAAAGATGGATGCTGCATCTCCAGTGTTTTTTGTTTGGTCCGTGTCCCATCTGCTAACATGGAGGAGGTGGCTTTTATGATGTGTACTGCAGTCTGCCACCAGGGGCTGATGGAGATGATTTGGCTTCACTGTTAGGAGCCGTCACGTCAGCCATTTTTATTTACGTCTGTTTTTATTGGGTGTGTGTGCATCCGTGCATGTGTGTGTGTGTGTGTGTGTGTGTGTGTGTGTGTGTGTGTGTGTGTGTGTGTGTGTTCTCAGGTGTAACCATGAGTGTGATCTTGGATCTCTCCTACACCGTCAGCATCTGGATCTCTGCAGCTGTGGCCATCACCTACACTCTGATGGGAGGCCTCTACTCTGTGGCCTACACTGACATCATCCAGCTCATCCTCATCTTCATCAGTCTGGTGAGTCACTGCTCCTCCTCCTCCTCCTCCCCACATCTGTGCTAATTAGCTTAGCGTGCTGTCTGTAGAGTTGGTTTGCTGCTGCTCACTGAGGCTCGTCTCGTCTTCTCAGTGGCTGTGTGTCCCCTTCGCGATGATTAACCCGGCTGTGACTGACATCACGGAGACGGCTTACAACTACACCTTCCAGACTGCGTGGGTCGGGACTCTGGAGGCCGACAGAGCCTGGAGGTGGATCGATAATTTTCTTCTGCTGGTAAGGAGGGAGGGGATCAAACGAGGGGTTCATTTAACATGACAGCTTGATCGCCCCCTGGTGGCTGGCTACAGTATAGGTCAGAAGCCACGCCACCTCCATGTTAAGGCTAATTTATGCTGCCTTTATGAACGAAAAGAGGTTTGTCTGTTTCAAACGATGTCACCGCCCACATACTTCCATGTTTCCTTGGACCATCTCTCAAATCTCTCCTCAAAAAGTTCTGCCATCTTTTACATTTTCTTGCTCGTCTCACTTTCTCGTCTTTCTTTGTGATTTTGGCTCCACTGCCCCCCGTGATCTCTGGTGGTACTGCTCCGTTTCCTCTCTTTCATCCATAGGGGAAGGTTTTCAGAAGAGTACGTCTGTTTCTGTAATCTAACGTTGAGGGTAAACAAGACTTTAGCTTAATCTAAGTACTTTGACTGACTCGTGATTGGTCAGAATCTTGATCCGGTAGCTATACACCACGTGGTGGATCGTGGTGATCAAGATCGTGGTGATCAAGATCGTGGTGATCAAGATCGTGGTGATCAAAACCGGAGATATTTCAGCTAAATGTCTGAGCAGCGAGCAGAAGTAGAGACGTGTCGTAAATTTTCATTGATTCATTGCACCAACAGTGGCGCCCCCTACCCACTTTATCATTTTTCTAAATTCAATGTGAAATGAACTGAACTTCAGTCGTTACACAAACAAAGCAGCAGCTGAAACGTGAACTTCTGCACCGACGAACTCTTTAACAACCAGAACACGTTTTTCAAAATACAATCACTTGCAGCTGCAGTGAACCGTTTAGCCAAGTCTGTTAATAATGAGATTAGTTATGTAACACTGAGGCACTACATTTCCCAGCATGCCCTGAGTGACCTCCAGGATTGGTCAGAGGGTGGTAGAGGTTCTCATGTTTGAGGTGAAAGACTCTTGTGACCAAAATATTCTGTGTCGCAGGATAAAAAATATTTTTAACCTGTTTCTAAAATTACGACTTTGTTTCCTGGGTGTTATGTAAATGCTTAAAATAGAAACACCATGAAACACGTGATTTATCTTTTTAGAAACTAAAGGACAAATAAAGGATAAATTCTCTGACTCAGATTCAAACATGAGGTTTGAGCTTTTTCCAGTTCTTGTCACAACTTTGACAATATTTTACTTTATAGAAACAAACTGAGCAAATGGTGAAACTGATTTTTCCCTGCATCTCATCATAGTCCCTGTAGTGTCCTACAGTGTCTGACTTGTCTTACCTTTTTCTTGTCCTTCGAGGGTTTGGGAAACTTGGGTCTCCAGAACTTCCACCAGAGGACGCTGTCCGCCGCCTCCTCAGCTACAGCCAAGATCACCTGCTTCGCTGCCGCGCTCATCGTCCCCACGTTAGGGATCCCGCCCATTCTCCTTGGAGCTGTTGCCGCATCAACAAGTAGGAAACAAACATGTGAACATTTAATATTGATTAAAGAATCGATGGAAATAAACCATCACGTTCCCTTCGTCTTCCTCAGACTGGAACTTGACGTCTTATGGATCTCCGTCTCCGTTTGAGCGCGGGGAGGCGGGACTCGTCCTGCCCCTCGTCCTGCAGCACCTCACCCCGACCTACATCTCCATCATCGGCATCGGGGCGGTGGCTGCCGCCGTGATGTCGTCCACTGACTCCGCCCTGCTGTCTGCAGCTTCGATATTCACCTCCAACATTTATAAGAACATCCTGAGGACACAGGTGAGGGGTCGAGCATCGCTACTGTAAAACATCAGCTTCAGAGGTAAAAGTAGCACAGCGTCACTCTAAAGAGGAGGGATACAAGACGACAAGTCAAGAAGAGAAAAGCAGCTGTTGAAGCTCTTTCATTTTATTTTTATCAGAGAACTTATTTATAGTCGCTGGCAAAACTGTCCATGAATATTGTTAAAATATTATTCTAAGGAGGACAACCTTGAGAAACCGTGAGAAATAACTCTGATGGTTGTGTCTCTTCCCGCCTGCAGGCGTCGGAGCAGGAGATCCAGTGGGTGATCCGGGCCTCGGTGGTGGTGGTGGGCCTGGCCGGCACCTCGCTCACCTTCCTGGACAACAGCGTCCTGATGATCTGGCTGCTCCGCTCCGACCTCACCTACACGCTCATGCTGCCGCAGCTCGTCTGCGTCCTCTTCTTCCCGATCTCTAATGGTTACGGGGCCGTCCTGGGCTGCGCGGCGGGCATGTCGTTGCGGGTGTTGTGCGGGGAGCCGCTGCTTGGTATTCCGACCATTATCAAATTCCCAGGATGCACCCTGGTAAACGGCGTATACGTCCAGCAGTCCCCGATCAGAACCATCTGCATGCTGACATCCGTGGCGGCCATCTTGCTGTTTTCCTACCTGTCGTCCCTGCTCTTTAACCGCGGACTGGTTCCTCTGAAGTGGGATTTTTTTGATGTAAAGAATCAGTACGCGATACAAACACCAGGTCTCGTCAGCTCAGACACCAAGGACTCGAACCTGCAGGAACAAAACGAGAACAACGAGGCGTGTGAACCGATGTTAGAATCTACATGTTAAGTGAGGAATGTCATTTTCTTCAGTTTGAACTGGTTAAACTACAAATGTTTGTATTTTATATTTTACTTTTATATGAAAAAGAAAAACACGACTTCTATGCTCTTTGTTGTAAGAGCTCAGAATGTTCTCTGCAATTTTATGCAGCAGTGATACTTTCAAGCATTGACGGATTATATGACATCAGACCCCTGAGCACAGACAAGTAGAAAAAAACCAACCACCAATAATCCTCGTAGTCGTCTCACGTGTTTTTAAGTAATTAAACGGTTGGATAAAGAAGTTCAGCTGCTGGAAACTGCACCTGAACTTCAGATTCACACATTATACACAATTGTACAGAACTACAAAAAATATTAATATATAGAAAAATCAAGAAAACTCCAAAGCACTCTCCTTTAAACGCACCACAGACAAATCAAACCCAAAATCAGATGCGTTTCGGTACGAAAGTAATTTCACCGGGAAACAGAAAGTAGCATGTTTATTCAAGCTTTTCTTTAAAACGTGAATGTTGGTGCAGCAGACGTGAAGGTCGTTTCTGTCGTTCCTGTCGTTCCTTTGGAGGAAATCTCAGCGGTAGATGACATGAGTTTAAATGTGCGTTTAATAAAATACACTTCATGTTCCAGTCTCTGTTTTTACAGCAGCTTCTAACGTCTGCAGTTGATCTGAGCATCCGCAGAGAACTTCACATCCATGTCACTGTCTCTTTAATTGGGCGGAGTTTATAAACATTTTATTTGTTAGTTTTTCACTTGTCAGTTTGTTTGTAAACAAGATTACGTAAAAAGAAACTACTGGATGAATTTCCACGAACCTCGATGGACGGATGTTGTACCGGTCGGGGGAAGAACCCATTAAATTTTGATGCAGATCCAGTTTTTTTTTCAATCTCTTTCTTCAACACTGTGAGACGGAACGTTTTGGTTTATTTCCCAGAGAATGATTCATGGCTCTTGATGACAAGCATCTGGTTTCTATGAGTTTGTAATTTAGCTGGATTTAATTAAAGGGACTGCAGGTGGAGGTTTGAGCTCTACTGGGCCACGTTCTAGTTTAAGAGGAGAGTGCTTTCGAAGTTTCTCTGACTTTCTACGTCTCCAAAGAGCAAAGAGTCCAGGACGCTGCGTCCTGTTTTGTGTTTGTACAAAGTAGGAATAGAATATTAGAATATTAGTTTCTCTGTTGTATTTAAGTTGCTTTGAAAGTTGTAGTCTAGAGTCAAAGTACATTAAAATATCAGATCAAACGTTATTTTCAGATATAAATAATAAGAACATGAGACGTTCCTCCAGTTCTTTGACTCTGGCTTAGGGGCACCTGTCCTGGGATGCTCATGTGATAATCCATCCATGCTCTGGAAGTAATTTTATCTTTGAATGCTCGCCATTCTTCTTTTGCTCTACCTCCTGGTTTTACTGCAGTTTTGAGAACAGCGACCTTGAACAGTGAAGTCTTGTTGATGTGGAAAAAACAAGGCGCCACCACAGGTTTGGGTTAAACTGCCGTCGACGCGATGCGATAAACTGCCAAATGAATAAATTCAGAGAAACGCCAGCTGGACGTCTTTAACAACCCAGTGACTGAGTCTTTTTAGACCGACTGATTAAATGTTGCTGTAACTCATGGCAGAGAAAAACAGATTACATTGAACCAAAGAGGCTTTAGTGGCCAGAACTCCTGAATATAATCTGTTAATTTTAAATAACCCTCCTGTCTATCACACACTCTCACGGTTCACGGTCCTGAAGGGTTATTCCAGGCTTCTTGATTAGCTGGGTGTGTTTTATGTGATGTTATCTATGAAACCCTTTAATGGTTATAAATATTCTCTATACAGTGAAGAATCACCAACTGATGATTGTCAAGAATAAACAAAAAGGACGTTCTGGTTTTTCAAACTTAATTTAATGTTTCAAGACCCAGGAACCAAATCAGGATCAAAATCATTTCCCTGACAACAAATCATGTGACACAGTAACGTCCGTCACTCTCACAAATCTCAACAGTGGAGAGTAAAATATTAATACTGCATCAAGCATGAGGATAAAGGTTTATTAAAGTTTAATATGTTTAAATGCTGGAAATGTTCAAACACTTATTATTTATCTTGGAGCGTTCACGGCTGCAACGTCTCATTTAAACAAAGATGGACGACATGAGAGTGAACTTGAAATTCCCCTGTGAGCACCAGGACCATGTCTGAGGTGTGACGCTGCTGTTACTGATGTTTTAGATTATTGAGAGGGTTTAAAAAAGATCATTTAATAAGAACAGTTTAAAATATTAAAACCTTCATGTGGCTTCGTGGCTAAACTCGTCCTAATAATAAGTCTTTCATTTGCTGTAAGTCCACAGGCCCGAACTTGACTTCATGTGTCCTGTGAGCTGATAACAACCCTGTGCTTGGTAATTAACCGTGGGACCGTGTGGCATGTGGAGCGGTGACAGATGCCTGGACCGTCCCTCCCTCAGTCAGTCACGTAACAGTCTGTCACCGTGGTATCGTACGAGGTGACATCTCGCTCCAGACCCGTCTGTGAGCCAACAGCTCGGCTGGAACAATCGTCCCACAGGACGCAGCAACTCACACTGAAATAGAGTCCTGCTAAAATAAGACGGACGTTGAAGGACGCTGCTCCGGCTGCTTCCCAACGCCCCCCCCCCCCCCCCCCCCCCCCCCACACCCCCCTGCTACAGTTAAAGCAACACTATAGGATTTTTACTAAGCTGCAGCGCCCTCTGCAGCCACACGTGGCGTTGGGCTCGGTGTCCGAGCAGTTAAAGATTCTTTACGCTGCCTTTACGTAAAAAGTAGCTGGTTATTAACCAATACAACCACTAGAGGGCAGAGCAGAGTTTGTAACGACAGCAACAAAAGACGGAGGAGGTTCAGATGACGTTCGTCTTAAGAAAGAGACAAAAGAGGCCAGATTGTGACGGCACGGGTCAAAGTTACCAACTCGTCAACTTCGTTATCTTTCAGAAGACGGAGTGACCTCAGAGGACGGACAGAAGGCTCCGCCTGTTTTCAGGTCTCACACTGATCAGTCGTATTTTCAGAGTCTGAAGCTTCGTGTTTGTTCATAGTTTCATTTGATCTGTTAGTTTTAGTTTCACGTTGTAATTTAGAGACTTTTGTGTCTCACACACGTCCTGTCATCATCACCTCCGTGGGCGTCGTCTACCCGTACTGGACTCTGATTGGTTTGTAGGCGTTGTCTGATGTTCTTCACTACAGATGACATGAACTGATTTCCAGTAAACTCATGAAATATTCATGCGGAGCTTTTTTCATCTTTCTTTATCACTGACACGTGTTTTTAACATTTTCACTCATAATTGGTGGATGTAGGTTTTTTTAGTCGGACAGATTTAGACGACTGACGTCTTCGTGTGGTTTTGATCCAAATAACTGGTTTTATTTCGGGGACATTTTTCAGCCTTTGAAAACTAATTGAGCTACAAACATGTTTCTTGACACTGAGGTTTCTATGAATCTTAAATAGTTTTAGAAGCTGTGACCACATGAACACGACAGATCTGGAGCAGAGCAACATCTGGGCCTTCGCTGAGTCACATCTCAACATGTGTCAGATACAGGAAGTGTCGGACTGATGGGGAGGAAACCACAGGATGTGGAGGTACTGACCCCTGCTGGACTAAAGGTGGTACTACAGTACTGTGAATCATTTTTAACGCCACTATCATCAGAACCAACACAGCAGCAGAGATGCACATAAATCACACGTTCATCAAAAAACATCAGAGTTACGATCAACCGACCTGGAGGCTGGAGGGAAGCTGCGTCTTGCTCAAGGGCACGTCACTGTGAGTCAGTCGCCCTGCGTTCACCGCTCCATCCTCTGAAACAGGACAGAACACGTTCAGTCCGATAATTCATTTATCTCCTGAGGACACATTTTTCTACTGAAAATATCAACATGAAATTGCACATATTTAATTTCTTGGTTTTCTCAGTTAAATCTAAAACTGATAATTATCAAAATTATCAACTTTAACGACCGATGATTCTGTTTAGATGAAACATAAAGAAGCAATACTCACAGTTTTAGAGACATCAATGACACACCCTCGACTGCACATGAGACATTTTGACATCAGTGCAGTTTATTTTCCACTTTTACTTCAAGTTTAAAACAATAATGATAAAACAATCAGGGCTTAAGCTGAATTCAAGTGTTGCTTACATCTCATCAAACCTCCATCAAATTAAATCACAGCAGGTGATTTAATCGATCACAGAAAATATATCAAACGACCTCAATGTCTCCTGATCTCAACCTCATTCTCTCTCTTTCCTGTGTCACTACACTGTCAACCTGTTGCGTCACAGCTGAAATGATGAAAACACCAACAGTAAAATCCACATTTTCAGAAGTGAACTCTGAGTTTGTCGTGAGGATTCACAGGTTTTGATTAAATGTGGAGAGAAAACTGAGAGCGAGAGATTCTTTCGTCCCCGAAGAGAAAAATAAATATGAGCAGTTTAAAGGCTTTACAGGAAATACAATAATCCCTCAGGAGACATTCAGGACGTCCTCTGCAGGACGTCTCTGCAGGACGTGTGGTCTGACCTGCAGCTCGAGCGTTTTAACTGAAGCATGTTGATCTACTGCTGCCGTGTCCCTCTCATTTGTATCACTTATTATCAGTGACGGAGTTGAGATGGTTGAGAAGATCCAGATTATAACAACAGCGGTAAACTGAGTGACACCAAGACGTGTCGATGAGGTTTCTAACACGTGACGGACGTGAAACTGGAAGAACACAAATATCTCAGGATGAAGAAGAGGAGTCGCACACGTAGAAGAGGAAGACGTCAGATGTTTTGGTGATGAGGGCCGACGCCGGTGTGGACGAGCTGTAAACAACAACACTGATCTTTCCACAGCACAATTTATACGTCATGTCCCGCCTCCTGCTGCTCTACAGGCTCCACCCCTCACCTCCCCCACACGTTCCTGTTGTCGTGAACAAGTCGGAACATTTTCTAGTGGGCGTGTCTGAAAGCTTGAGAAGGTGCTCGAGGTTTAATGTTTCACTGTTTCTACAAGAATTTTTTTTTAAACCAAACCACAAGAACAAAAAAAGGCTTCTGTATATATCAGATATAAATGTTCCATTTCCTTTCCATCATTTAATCAGATTCAGTTCAGTTCCCTCTGCTTTTCACTGCCAGTCATCACGAAGGACTTGATGGCGTCTCTGCTCCGGGGTTTTTTATTGGGTCTAGAGCAGATCCTTCGTACACAATCTTTTTCTTGATGCCGTCCTGGATCATCCTCTGCTGCACGCGAATCTTTGCGTTGTTAATCCTGCAGTAAAACCTGGTGAGAGACGCAGAAGAAGAAGTGACTGGAAACAGCAGGAATGAGAGTTTGTCAAAGGTTTTTCTTTAATACTGGTCGAGACCGAGCCGGAGAGGATGAGGTGTCTGTGATCATCGAGACCTACCAGGACCCGAGTGTGGTGAGCACGAATCCTGCAAGTCCGACGTCAAAAGACCTCTTCACTCGACCTGCGGACAAACAAACAGGACGGAGACGGATGAGAGTCCCGGAGCCACAAGAACATTCTTCCTGTTCAACAACTTTTTTATTTTGTTGTGATTTTGCTTTGTTGACTTTGTAAATCGTTTTTTTGAGTTATTTCATTTGAGCTGACATGTTAATGAGACGCAGAGATGGAGAAAGACAGAAAGAAAGAACAAAGTCAGATAAGAATATTTTTTATTTTATATTCAATGAGCATTTCACCTCCAGTCACATAATATGTTGGAGAGATATTTTTAATTTAAACATTATGTTTCAGCTGAAGAAGCCACAGAGTCAGAGCTAATAATCAATCACGACCTGTTGGGTTCAATGTTAAAAACCCATGTTCCCATACCGGGAGTTGAACCCGGGCCGCCTGGGTGAAAACCAGGAATCCTAACCGCTAGACCATATGGGACATATTTATGCAAATACAAGTAACCAGGAAACTCTGAATTTTAATGTTTCAGGAGGTTGAACCTCTGTGAACATTAGGACCAGCTGGAAGAAATCGTGTTCTTGTGTTTACTGTGGCTACAACACATGAGTTCTATTGTTCTTAGTGGTTGGTCAAATCTTCTTCTATAGCAGAGCTGCTCACTGATTCACTCAGCTCCTCCTGACTGTTGTTAACATCAGGTCTGAGCCTGAACGAGCTCTGAAAACACACATCACCACACACAGGGCCCAGTTAAAACTCACTGGTGGCCAGGAAGTGAAGCAGGCCGGCGCCGAGTGAACCTCCGGCTCCGTGCAGGATGGCGTCTCGGGCACACGGAGTGTTCTGGATACTCTGAATCCCCGGCAGACGGAAACCCTGAAGGACGGACGAGGACGACAAAGAGACAGATACACAACTTCAGTTCATCTTTTCTCTTATCTCCAGAACATTCATGTAATCACATGACGTTGTTTTCTCTTTGTCTTTGGTGAGAGTGTAAACTCATCACTTACATCCCAGAATTACATTCAATTAAGGTTTGGATCGTGTAGTCTTCCATGTTTGATTCAAATCCAGTTTTTATAGGTGAATATTATTTGAGCCGAAATTATCTTTCATTCAAAACATATCAGGAAAACATTTCACTAACTACATGTTATTGGTTATTTTCGTTTCTGGGCTCAAGTTAAACTTTAATTATTAAATATTCGGACGGGCTTTGGTTTGACTAAATAATCCTTCAGCTGTGAGCGAGTCAGCTGCACAGTCTAGCTAATGTCATCACGCTGCCTACCTCACTTATTTGAATTTAGGTTGCTAACATGAGCTAACTAAGCTAAGCTAACATGAGCTAACTAAACAAAGTGAACTAAAGGTTTTCTGGATCTCACTTCGCTCGTGTTGACGCGGACTCTGTTTAAATTCTGTGGAAGTTAGAGTTCACATTGAGAGAAAGTGTGTTTGTGTTCAGCGAATTTCAACAAAACTCAGACGGACACATGTTTATGAAGCGACGACGTGTTCGGCAGCTTTACTTTGTTTTTATATAAAATAAAAAGTCTGAATATAGAAGTAAAACACAGCTCCAACAGTTTGTATCGTTGACCTTCTGGAAACATCATCAGACCTCTTCCGGTTAAGGAAGAGTTGATTTTGTTCTCTCACCTTGTTGTTGTTCGGTTCTTCTTCTTCCGTCATCGCTGCTGAGTTCATCCACGTTCCGATGATGTAATTATTTAACAGTTTAACAACAAAACTCAACCATCACGTAACACTGACACACGACAGTCTGCGCATGCGCTGTAGCGACCAGAGGGTCCGTCACTTTAGAGCTCCGACACCAACAGAGGAAGTGTTGTTTTTTAGTTCCGATAAATCGGAAATAA